CTGAGCTGAGGTGGAACAGTGGTTAGAGTGTAGTACTGCAGGCTACTTATGCTGCCTGCCGGCTGCCTGCAATTTGGCAGTTCAAATCTCACGAGGCTCAAGGTTGACTCAGCCTTCCATCCTTGGGAGATGGGTGAAATGAGGACCTAGATTGTTGGGGATAATAGGCTGACTCTGTAAACCGCTTAGAGAGGGCTGTAAAATCACTATGAAGTGGTATATAATCCTAAGTGCTATTGTTAAGCGCTATAGTCTTCACAAATTTAATGTCCTCCAAAAATTGTGGAACCTATCCCTGTAATGCTCCATAGTGATAGAGAGGAGCAGCCAGGATTGGGTATTGCTGTTGTCTTCTGCCTGGAGACTGAGCCAGTCATCTTTTTTTTCTACTGGGACCTTTTCCACGTTTTCGGCTCAGTCGACTGGCTGTCGAGATATATAAATTCTTTCTCTGTGACCTAGATTTCTTCCACAGGTATTTTTTTTTAAATTTTTGGATTGAATTTTTCTTTAAGTGATGGCTAACTGAGTATGGATAGTCGTCCTGTTAGCTTTTCGCTGCAGTTTCCACCCTTACAATAGGGACAGGTCTCGCTTCCAACATCAGAGTCCCCTTTTGAGGGGGAGGTGGTCACCCTTACCGCCAGGGCAAATAGTTTGGGCACGACCCCATTGGTGATCTCCAAGCTCTCTTCTCTGAGCCCTGGGTGGAGATCTCCTCGGATGCCTGGGTGATCAGCACGGTCACCCATGGTCTTCGTTTAGAGTTCATGTCCCTTCCCCCAAATTTCTTTCGTTCTTTTCCCCTGGCTCAACTCATACAGAAACGTAGGTTGATGCGTCAAGCTATTAAATATCTGCTTGACATCGCTGCAGTGGAACCGGTCCCGTCAGACCAGGTGGGGCGGGAGTTCTATTCGAACCTGTTCTTTGTGCCCAAGTCTTCGGGGGGCTGGAGAGCTATCCTCGACTTGAAGCTGTTGCACCAATACTTGGTTTATCGCAAATTCAAGATGGCCTCCCTTAAGTCCATTTTGGCAGAGGTTCGAGAGGGGGATTGCATGGCGTCTATAGATCTTACAGAGGCTTACCTCCATATCCCCATATTCTCGGATCATAGACTCTTCCTCCAGTTCTCCTACCTGGAGCGCCATTACCAATATAGGGCCCTGCCATTTGGATTGTCGTCCGCACCCAGGGTTTTCACCAAGGTGCTGGCAGTAGTGGCGGCATACCTAAGGGCATTTCCTATTGGACTACATTGCTACCTTGATGACACTCAGGGAACATCCCCGAGTCAGACGAGGGTGGACCTTAAGCAGGTCATAGTCACTCTACAATGGTTAGGTTTTTCTGTTAACTTTGATGAGTTCTCTCTCCCTGTCCACTAGGATCCTCCATCTGGGGGCGGTTATAGATTCCTGCTCAGGGAAGGTTTTTCTCTCCCCGGACTGCAGGTCCAGTTTGGTTAAAATGGTTAAGCAGGTCCGCAGGGACCATTATGTTCCCATAGCCTCTCCAGCTTGTTGGGGAAGCTCATATCCTGCATTGAGGTAGTGCCACTACTTTGCAGTGGTGACTCCTGCCATTCCAGAGGGCCAACACCAGCAGCTTGACAGCCAAGGTCGAGGCCACCCCTCAGGTACTGATCTCTCTCAAGTGGTGGCTGTCCCCAGTCTTGCTCCAGGAATGCGACTTCAGGGACCAGGAGCGCCTCGTCCTAACCACGGATGTGGGGGCGACCCTAGGGTCTCAGTTGGCACAGAGTCGGTGGTCATGGCTGGAGCTCCAACACAATATCAACTGGTTGGAGCTCTGGGCAATCCATCTGGCACTCCAACACCTTTGGGTCTCTGTTGAGGATCATCACATACTTGTTCTCACCGACAATGTGGCTGCCAAGGCCCACATCAATCGGCAAGGTGGCACACATTCCAAGGCACTGCATGCCGAGGCGATGTCACTGGGCAACTGGATGGAGAGACACCTGCGGTCGATCTTGGCAGAACACATTATGGGGTTTGACAACCATCAGGCCGACTGGTTGAGTCGAGAGATGGTGGGCAACGGAGGCTCTCCCCGGAGCTGTTTCAGAGCATCTGCCAGAGGTTCAGGCAACTGATGGTGGACCTCTTCGCCACTCCGGGTAACGCACAGCTTCCCCGGTTCTTTTCTCAGTTCCCAACTCGGGGAACCGAGGTGGCCAGACGGGCTGTTGTACGCTTTTCCTCCCCCTCATTCCCAGGGTCATTCAGAAGCTAGTCAGGGAACAGACAGAGCTGATCCTGGTGACACCGTATTGGCCGCGGAGGGCCTGGTTTGCAGATCTCATGACCCTGTCGGTCTGGCCTCCTTGGTGGATTACGGAGAGGGAGATACAGTTACACCAGGGGAGGTTAGTTCACCCGGAGCCACACTGGCTGCAACTAGCATGTGAAGATTGAGTGGGAACACCTGAGGGGTTCACTTCTCGGCACGCGTGATTAGGACCATAGAGGCCTCACGCAGATAATCCACCACAAGGATCTATGACTCCACATGGGTTTCCTTCATGACCTGGTGCCAGGCTGCCCAGGTGGTGCCCACAAGGGCCTCTGTTCCACAGGTACTGGACTTCGTCCAAGATGGATTGGATAGGGGGCTTTCCCTGGGCACCGTGCGTAGGCATCTGGCTGCCCTGGCTACTGTTCTTCCAGGGGAAGGTTCTGTTTCCCTCACCCAATTACCCATTGCTAAGAGGTTTATTTGGGGGGGGGGTCTCCAACTTACGCCCTCCAGTGGTTCATAGGTTTCCCACATGGAGCCTCCCTACTGTGTTGCGGGCCCTCAGGGCTGAAGCCTTTGAGCCGTTGAGGACAGTTAGCCTGAAGCTCCTAACTCTTAAGGTGGTGTTTTTAGTGGCTATCACGTCTGCTAGACGAGTGTCAGAATTGGGAGCACTTTCCTCCAGGGCGGATTTGTGTGTGTGTTCCACAGCAACAGGGTTGTGTTGAGGTTAGATCCAGTTTTTTTGCCAAAGGTGAATTCTATGTTCCATCGTTCCCAGGAGGTTGTACTTCCAGACTTCTGTCCGGATCCGGTTAGGGAACCAGAACAGCAGTGGCACCGGTTGGATGTTTGTCGGGCCCTGCATATATATTTGAAGTGGACGGCCTCCTTCCAGAGGTCGGAGGCACTATTTCTATCCTTCCAACCTTCATCGCTGGGTAAGAGGGTTACGTCCATTAGTCAGTGGATCCGCTTGGCATATGAGGCCTAGAGGTTGCCTGTGCTGGCGGGTATTACGGCATATTCGACAAGGAGCGCTGCCACTTCGGCAGCTTGGGCCTTGCAGGCTCTGATAGGCGACATTTGCAGACCGGCAACATGGGCCTCACCATCGCCGTTTATTCGGCATTATAGGTTGGATGCGTTCGCATCGGCTGATGCAGTGTTCGGGTGTAGGGTGCTACAGCAGGTCATTGCAGATCAGTAGTTTTCCCTCCCCCATGGGACTTAGCTTTGGTAGGTTCCTCTACTGGAGCCTCCTGTCCCTTACTCTGGAAAATGGCAGTTGGTCCAGTTCCCGCCCTAGGTTAGTTAGTCTACTGTGGTGGAGGGAGTTCTCCTTTGTGCCTTGTTTTCAGGTCTCAGGTAAGACCAACTGCCATTTCGCAGGTCACAGGCCTCGTCATCTCCACGCCTTCACTGAAAACTGGGGGAAGGCCCCAGTAGAGGGGCATCACCAAAAAAAGATGACTGGCTCAGTCTCTGGCTGCTCCTCCCTACCTATGAGAATGGGCGTCTCAGGTAGGACCAACGCCCCTTCTGACTGGGAATTAAGGTACCTGTTATCCAACGCCGTTATTTTATTTTTATTTATTTAAAACACTAGTTTTTAAAAATCATGTGAAGTATTAATACCACTTTATAATGCCTTGGTAAGACCATACTTGGAATGTTGCATCCAGTTTTGGTTGCTATGATATAAGAAAGATGTGGAAACTCTAGAAAAGAGTGCAAAGAGCAACAAAGATGATTAAGGGACTGGAGACTAAAACATGAAGTATGTTGCAGGAATTGGGTGTGTCTAGTTTAGTGAAAAGAAGGATTGGGGTGACTTGATAGCAATGTTCCAATGGGTTGCTACAAAGAAAAAAGGAGTAATCTATTCTCCAAAGCATCTGAAGGCAGAACAAGAAGCAATGAAAATAATCAAGGAAAGAAACAACCTAGAATTAAGGAAAAATTTCCTGACAACTAGAACAATCAATCAGTGGAATGACTTGCCTCCAGAAGCTGTGGGTGCTCCATCTCTAGAGACTTTTAAGAAGAGATTGGACAATCATTTATCTGAAATGATACAGGGTCTTCTGCTTGAGCAGGGGGTTGGACTAGAAGATCTCCAAGGTCCCTTCCAACTCTGTTAACATTTATAGAGCTTCCTATCTTCTAACCAATTCTGGGTGGCTCCCAATCAACCATGAAGGGATGTTATCTGTTAATGCTACCGTAGTAGCACTTGAGTTTCATGGATAAATCGTCTTACTTTGTACAAGAAAAATCCCTGTATTGGAGTAACATTTTTTTTAACATTTACCTCTTTTGTTTATATTTTGTCCAAATGCTAGATATTTTGATAGGCAGTTGGATTGCTGTGCTCAGGGATTCCTCTCATTGGTAGTTTTGAATTGAGGCTGTGTAGGAGATGTCAGACATTAAGCATATCTCTCTTTATCAATGTGTCTTTAATCTTAGCTATGATCAATGTGGTACTTTGCAGATATGTTGTAAATGAAAGGCCAGATTGCTTGATATGTCCAAAAGGCACCAGGTTGGAGAAGCCACCTTGATTTACATTGTCAGTCTCTGTGTCCTCCAGAGAATTTAGTCACAACGTTCCCTCTGCCACCTCCCTTACTGCATTTGTTCTCATTCCCTGTAACTTGAATGCTATGTTTTTTTAATTAAGATGTCTGCTAATTGCCTATAACTTCATCCCTTCCCTATTTGCCTTTCAGAAATGCCCTTCAAAGGATTATATAAAACACTGCGAGTGCTGTGATGTCTGAAACTGCGCAGAGGGGCTGCTTTCTGAAGGTAGTCCTTAAATTTGCCCTCCCCCCCCCCCAAATGTGTCTGTGAGCAGTTCAAATTAATTTCTTATTGCCTCCTTGGGGTTGGAGAATAGAATCTGTCCTAGCCTGTGCAGTGATTTCTCCAAAACTGGAAATATGCTACATCAGAACATGATCCATTTCTTATGATNAAGCCTTAGTGATTGTGACAGTAAGCACCACAGTGAAACAACAGAAGAAAGAATTGAGGTCACCCATAGATACACAGTTGAAAGTACTCAAAATAGGTCTTTTAAAAACACATAGCCACCTTATGGGAAAAATAGAATACATGGTTATTTTCAGAGACACTATGTAAGAAATGGTTTATACGCAGTATGGGAAAAAGTAAAAGAAAAGCACTATATGGAAGTGCCAATATGGCTTTCAATGGTGGAAGCTTTGACACATCTGAATATTAATAGTACGAAAAAGGTTATTAGGTACAAAGAGATACTAACAGCACAGGGAGAACTAAAACAGAAGAAAGAATTAGAAGAACAAGGGATTGATATAGGATGGTTTAAACAAATGTAAATACAAACAAGATATGAGAAAGATGATAAAGAGTATGGTTTTAATATGGAAAATTCAGAATTAAATAGGATACTCATGGGAACAGATGAAAAAATGATTTAAAAATTGTATAGTTATTTACTTAGAATAAATTTAGAAAAAGAAGAGGTTAAAGAAACAATGATAAAACGGGCAAAAAACTTTGGATATACAATACCATGTTTCTCTGAAAATACAACCTGTCCTGAAACTAATGCCTTGCCACATTTTTCGCATAGGCAAAAATATAAGTCCACCCCCAAAAATAAGCCCCCTAGACAACCCCCCCCTCCGGCCAGGCAGAGCACCGCTCACCAACCTAGCAGTATCCCGAAGGTGCCAAGCCGCAGGAGTCGGGGGGAAGGTGCTCATATTGCTTGGCGCCTTTGAGATACCGCTAGGTTGGGGAGTGGCGTTCTGCCTGGCTTGAGGGGGGAGTTGCTGGGTGGCTGCTCCGTTAAGAGTGGGCTCTTAAAGAGGGGCACAGCCTCGGGCGAAGCAGCCATGAGGTGACCACGCTCATGAGCAGCCGCCCGGCAAACCCCCTCTCCAGCCAGGCAGAGCGTCATTCACTGACCTAGGGGGTATCCCTAAGGCGCCAAGCCACATGGCGCTTTGGCTGCCTCCCAGCTCCTGCAGCTTGGCACATTCAGGATACCCCCTAGGTCAGTGCATGGAGCTCTACCCGGCTGGAGAGGGGGATTGCGCGAGCGCCTGTTCTGCCCCCCCAGCAAGCATGCTTCCCAGCCTCACTATGCCCTGGCCCAGCTCTCCCTGCAGGGCCAGGGCGCCGCCGCACTCCAAGCATAACTACTTCTCCGGCTTCCAAACTCCAACACTCGGCTGCCGAATCTTCCAGCAGCGACCGCTCTAGGAGTGCGCTCTGTGAGTGCACTCTCTGAGTGTGGGCCGGCTGCTTCGCCTCTGTGGCTGTGCTCGGCTCTTCGGGAGCCCGCTCGCAAGGGAGCAGCTGCCCAGCAACCCAAAAAAGAATAAGCCCTCCCCCTATAATAAGCCCAAGGCCATATTTTGTGGGGCAAAAGAAAATAAGACCCTGTCTTATTTGGGGGGAAACACATTAGAAATAGAAAAATGGCAACAAGTATGTGAAAGGAACTATAAATTGACAATGGTGACATCATACAAAGAGAATGTATATAAAATGTTTTATAGATGGCACATGGCACCTGAAAGATTAGCAAAAATGTTTAAGGATAAGTCAGCTAAATGTTGAAAATGTCACTAATTGCCAGGAACATATTATCATATGTGGTAGATATGTAGGGATACAAAAAGCTATTGTGTTAAAATACAAACATGGTTAGAGAAAATGATACATCAGTCGGTAGAGTTTAAGACAGAGGTATTCTTATTGGGTATTCTACCAGAGAAATAGAGTAAAGAAGATTCATATTTGATTGTACAAATAACAACAGAAGCTAGAATTGTAATTGCACAAAATTGGAAAGCAGACAAAATCCCATCGGAAGGGGAGGAAATACAGAAGATATTAGACTCTGCAGAAATGAACAAGTTGACATTGAGAATAAAGGACAAAGAATAATCAGTGTACTACATGGGGGTGATTTTATGAGTGGCTTAAAAAAAGATATAAATAGAAAAAAAAAGGAACAAAACATGAAATAAATATCTCAGATGACACATGATTAAATTAGGGAGAGGGGAAATTAGAAAATATGAAAATGTAAAATATACAGGCAGAAAATGATATGAATTGACAAATGTTAAATAGCAATTATAACAACGTATATTTAAGAATGAATTTGAAAGGGAAAATAAAAAACTTTTTACAAAAAACAAAAACAAATAGCCACCTTGTAACCTTCCACCCTCAATGGGATGCCTGTCTGAATTTATGCAGATATGCCACTGTTATGTGGGCAGCTACAACTGGACTCTGGGTCTCATTTGAAATACTCCAATACCTTTTGCTGCTATCACTGCCTGGATGAATTTGCTGACCTGTAGGATATAGTCAGCTTCTTTTGAGGAATCTATTGAAGTGCACAGAGTGGATGTTTTCGATGTCTGTCTGTGGAGATTCTCAGACATCATGGTTGTCCCAAAAGTGCTTTTTTAAAAAGGCAACTGGACTTTCTTTGTTTTTCCTTGAAGATGTTTCGCTTCTCATCCAAGAAGTTTCTTCAGTTCTGAGAACTGAAGAAATCAAGATCACATGAAGTACTAATACGCCTCTATAAAGCCTTAGTAACACATCTAGAATACTGCATCCAGTTTTGGTCACCACACTATAAAAAGATGTAGAGACTCTAGAAAGAGTGCAGAGAAGAGCAACAAAGATAATTAGGGGACTGGAAACTAAAATATGATGAACAGTTGTAGGAATTGGGCATGGCTAGTCTAGTGAAGAGAAGGACCAGGGGAGACATGATAGCAGTGTTTCAATATATCAGGGGCTGCCACAGAGAGGAGGGGGTCAAGCTATTTTCCAAAGCACTTGAAGGCCAGTCAAGGAATAATGGATGTTAACTGAACAAAGAGAGATTCAACCTAAAAATAAGGATATATTTTCTGACAGAACAATCAACCAATGGAACAGAAGTTGCCTTCAGAAGTTGTGGGGGCTTCCTCACTGAAAGCTTTTAAGAAGAGACTGGACTGCCATCTGTCAGAAATGGTGTAGGGTCTTCTGCTTGGCGAGGAGGTTGGATTAGATGACTTACAAGGTCCCTCCCAACTCTGTTATTCTATTGTTGTTAATATTCTGAACCATCTTCAAGGAAAAACAAAGTCCAGTTTCCTTTTGGGCTCAGGCTTTCTATGTCTCTGCACAACATGCTTCTTGTGGTACATATTGGGTACTGCTCCACTATCAGTTAGCTTCTGGTATAATGGTGAAGCCCAGGGACTGTACTGGTGAGGATGCTGCTGCTATTGGGAGGACAGAGTCTCTAACTCAATGAGCAACCTTTTTAGATGCTGAATTGAATAATTTATTGGCCAAGTGTGATTAGGCACACAAGGAATTTGTCTCTAGCGCAGAAGCTTGGTGTACATTGCAAAGCAAGAGAATCATCATCATCATCATCCTCCATTGTGACATTGCTGTCCTCTATCAGGAGTTTCTTCTTGGAACACCTGCTGGATTCTCAGCCTCTTTCTCTTCTTCCAAAAATCTGTTTTTTGTGCGAAGCCTTTGATTCAGCCAAGCACCCCATTTGCACACCACCAGCTCTCAGATTGTGTTGCCAGAGTTCAGTGGTAAAAATAGCTGAATGTTAACAAGCAATTTCCATCCATTTTTCAGGATTTTGGACAATTTTACACACGGGAATAGGAGTGGTTTGCCAGCAGGAGGCCTCCCCATCTTTGTCTTTAATAGCTCACGTCCCATCCATGTTACCTTTGTTTTTCCTTTCAGGGGCAATAGATCATGTCTGTTTTTCAACATGCATTAAGTTACACTCCTCTGTCGTCTCCAGCCAGATAGAATTACAATTCAGCACGTCAGGAGATCCGTACATTGGGAGAAGACTGGTTCACGATTTCCAATAAAGATTTGCCTTCCAGGCTCATAGCAGTATCAACAGCTTTTGTCAGGGTTATAAATCATCTATATTCAGCAGTGGAATTAATGATATCACTCATTTTATTATTATTTTTTTTAATGCAAACATTTTGTCTACTAGTTGAAGTTCTCAGGGTGGATTTAATTGGAAGAAACTTGAGGTTTTGGCAGAGTTGAATGGCATTTGCATATTTACATACTGTTTCACTGTGATCCTCTAAGACACCCCCTTCCCCCTGGCAGCCAGATGAGCTATTTGAAATGGAACAGCTTACTGCTTGATTACTAAGTCTAATTTTTTGTTATCCCATGTTAACAAAACAACAGAGAATTTTGATAAATGCAGCAAAAAGTCCTGCAAGCCTCAGCATCTGTGCTTGGAAGTAACTTCTGTTCAAATCAGCGGGATTCGCCTTTAGTTAGGAGGACTTTGAGATGAGGTTGAATGGATACATAAGAAAATGGATAGGAACTTTGGCACATTTAGCCAAGAATCACCTGATCATAAATGATTATGGACATGCAGATAAGCAAAAAGTGAACATTTTGGGGCTTTGGTCAATTTGTAGGGATTTCATATACATTTTTTGTTATGTCAATTATTCAAAGTTGGTTTATAACTGGAGATGATTGCCAGTTAGAGATGTAGTGATTTGTGTGCTGAAAATTCATTTCCAATCATTTCTAGCTTGGATGGGGAAAGTATTCTTGGCTGAAATCTTAGCAACCCATTTTCAGCTAGCGTAAAATTTGACTTCCAAAAAGTTGGTTATTGCATCAGTTCAAAAAGATACGGGTTATTTTCCCAACGTGCTGAATTGGGTACCAAGACTAAGTCAGGAAAGCTGGTTGCATAGACCATTTTGAGAGTCTTGTGATTGCAGCAGGTATAATAAACATTGGACCAGATCACAGTGGCTAATGAATTTTGGTTGGAAAGCCATTCCCACCCTTATTTTCCTGTTGTTGTTTAGCTGAATAGTTCAGCCACTCTGCCACTGAAGTTTAGCAGATTGATCTATTGTCAAATGCTGACATTTGACTACCAATTTTTCCCTAGTGGCTAAAGAATAATCTTAACTCCCTAATCTGATATGGACATCACATTAAGACACACACTAAGCCAAAAGAAAACAACAACCAACTAACACGCACATCACTCACAGTAGCATGAATGACAGGTAGTCCTAAACCTATAACCATTCGTCTAGTGACCAAAGTTACAACAGCATCGAAAAAAGTGACTTATGACTATTTTTCACACTTACAGCCTTTGCAAGCATCCTTTTGGTCACATGATCAAAATTCAGACGCTTGGCAACTGTGCTATATTAATAACGGTTGCAGTGTCCTGAGGTCATGTGGTTCCCTTTTATGATTGTCTGACAACAAATTAATGGGGAGGCCAGCTTTACTTAACTGTATGACTTACTTAACAATTGCAACAATTGACTTAACAACTGTATTAATAAAGATGGTGAAATGCAGCAAAATTCACTTAACAACTGTCTCACTTAACAATGGAAATTTTGGGCTCAAATTGCATTAGTCAAGGACTACCTGTATTCCTCTGGCCCCCGTGCCTGGGAAAATATCCAGGTCTGCAAGGTTTTCTGAAGGGTGAAGAGAGTCAGGGCCAACTGGACTACGGTGGTATGGTATTTCAGAGAGCAGGCTCAGCTAGAGAAAAGGCCTCCTTCCTGGGTCCTGGATCTTTTAGGGATGACAATCCCTAATAGATGGGACCTACAGCATGCCCCTCCTGTGCAACCTAGTGAAATGGATAGAAATGATGGAAATAAAGTACAGTAGTCCCTCAAATATCTTGGTCCAGTGCCATGCAGGCACCGGGAGTCCACAGCATCTATTGACCAGGAATGGAAATATATAACTAAGACCTCACCCTTTGCTGTTGTTGTCTTGCAGTTTCATGATATCTTTTGATCTTCTGTCCTAGAGATGACGCCTGTTTCTTGAGGGGTTCCAGTGTCCTTCTGGTCTGGATTCCTGAGATAAAGGGACAGAATTGACATTTCTCCAAAGCATATAAAGTGACAGACTAATGCTGTTTTATGGGGATCTATAATACAATTATTTTGATGTCTCTGTATTCGTAAAGAGCTGGATTGCTAAGGTTGATATTAGTCTGTATTTTTAACAAACACTGGGTTTGGTTTCCACCCTGTGTTCTGGCCACAAATTCTGTGTTTGCTTCAGATAAATTTCTAGGCTTCTTTCCAGGTGTAAGTGCAGAGGCATCAGTACAAGTTAGCTTAAGTCTGTGTTTACAATACCCCACCCAAAACGCAATCAAGGAAAATATATCCCAATCAAGGCTAGTAGAATGAGCTACCCCATGTAAGCAACCAGAAATCTCCATTCCTCATAATGATGCTTTGTAGTCTGGTACTGAAATGTCTCTAATAAGCTACCTTGAAGATTTTCTGTTTGTTTGTTTCTCTCCAAAATCTAATATTCTGGGTAAAATGTTAAAAGCCAGCATTGCATTCTGAGAATATTTGCAATTTTTTACAAAAGTTTTTTGGATTTTTATTTTTAGAATATACATCAACATCAATACATGAACAGTATGGCGTCTGGGTATCATTCGTTTTGGGACAAATGTCAATAATAATATTAATGGTATTTGTTACATTAATCAAACATGAAAATCCTAGTAATAATATACATATTTGTTTCAAAGTAGTTATTCAATATTTCAATGTTCCATTTTAATGCCAATCACAATATTATTTGAATTTACATAGTACTGCCCTCTTTCAACCTCTAATCTTTCCTCTAATTATTGCTTTTATTCTATTGTATGAAAAATATATGCGCTAATATTCCCCCTATTTCTTATATCTGCCTCTATTCTGGCTTCTAGTCAGGCCACCATTACTAATCCTAGTGTTAATACACTTGTTTATATTAAGATATAGACATTTATTATTTAATGTTTCAATGCGCCATTCTAGTGCAAAACCATATTATTTAAACATACTTAATAATACCATCTTTCAACCTCTAATCTTTTCATCTAGCTATTACTTTATTTGAGTGTGTGTATTCTTATTTCTACCTCTATTCTAGTTTTTAATCAGGCCAGCACTATATTAAAAAAAAGAAAGAGAAAAAATATTTCCTTTCTCTCCATCATCTCTTGCTCGTTTTAATACTTCAAGTCTTATTCATTTTTTAGCTTGCCTCCATACTCCTCTCTTGGATCCTTGCCTCTATCTACACCTGTATCTTCACTGTTCCATCTAAACATTTCTCCCATCTCTATCCTCTTATGCTGCCAGGCCTCGAAAGTATCTACCCAGGCCTCTATCTCCCTTTCAAAAGTATCTTCCTACTTATCCGATTCTATTTTTAAATCTCTTAAAAGTACTTCCCCCTTGGTTTCATCAGTGATTTTTATCTTTTATTATCTTCGCCTTCTCATCTTCTTGCTTTATTTGCTAATGTGTCTGTTCTGTCTTTTCCTCCATTTTTTCTATTGCCTCCTCTCTTTCCTGGAATATTTGGTCTTCATTCATTATCAGTTGCAGTGTTTTCTATTTTCTCATTTATGCCCTGCAGTAGGTTCTTTGCCTATATGTAATTCATTGTCATAGTGTCCTTAATGCTTTGGAACATCGATGCCATTTCTTTTGAAATTTCACTTATTTCCCTCTGATGGAGCATTGTGTCTTATTTTAGTAAGTCCTGCTCTTACTCAATAGTCTAAAAATAATATATTCAAGTCTAATGTTGCTCCTCAGAAAGTACAATGCTTGTAGTTCTTTATATTCCAGGATTATATAATCAGTTCCATTTAGATAGTCCAGGAAGCTTTCCAAAAATCACTTAACTTTGCTTAAGAGTCTTTCTTATTACAATACAATACAATAATACAATACAATACAATACAACAATACAATACAATACAATACAATACAATACAATACAATAGCAGAGTTGGAAGGGACCTTGGAGGTCTTCTAGTCCAACTGCCTGCCTAGGCAGGAAACCCTATGCCATTTCAGACAAATGGCTATCCAACATCTTCTTAAAGACTTGCAGTGTTGGGACATTCACAACTTCTGGAGGCAAGCTGTTCCACTGATTAATTGTTCTGTCAGGAAATTTCTCCTCAGTTCTAAGTTGCTTTATTCCCACAGTTGAGTCTCCAGTAATCATAAAGTAGATAATTATAGAACAGTAGGTATCACCACAGTCCTCCAGATGAATATTGTTTATTTCTCTTATCAGAAACTTTCCTAGGCTCTAGGGATATGGTATATTTCCATTCATCAGTAGGTGGCACCCTCAGCTTAGTTTTTAGGTTTGTTTCAAATGTAAAGTTATTTAATCCAATTTTAATTCAATTTGTAGAAGCAAAGTCAATTATTCAAGTAGATAGTTGCAGCATTTTTAAATGCCTTTCCACAATGCCTACCAGTTCAAAGGTTTAATTTTCTATGTTTTTAAAAAATCTTTAGCTCTTCTCCCTTTACTTCCTCTCTTTCAGGTCTAAAAATGTTCTCTGTATAATTGTTCACCGTTTTAACAAACAGTTCTAAGAGTCTCTTTTCCTAGATTTTCTTTCTTTTTTCCTTTTAAAGTTGGGGTCTAAATAAAAAAGAAATCTTCTCACCCAGCTCCAGTCACTGTCCATCTACACCGTCCCTGAACTTTCTTTGTTACCATTGTCCCAGCTTCAGGGCAGCCGTGATGGCTGCCTCTCCTCCTCATTGTGGGTCAGAAAGCCCTGGGTCAAGCAGGAATCTTGCGGTTCTCCGTAACTTGCAGGACGCCCCTTTTTTCTTCACCACCCCTATAGGGTGGCTTTAGTTCCTTTTGGAGCCCTCCAATGAGGAGAACTCAGCGTGGGAGCACAGACCCACTCCTCACATCTGATTTCACTGCGAAGTCAGCCAGAAGTCCAGAATATTTGCAATTTTGATGCTTTCCCCTTTTTTACTTCTACCACAATAACTATGAAAGTGTAGTTATTTTAAAGAGCCATTATATTGTGAGATCAATTTTTTATTTGGTTTTTATGCATGTTAATCACAGTATAGGTTTTTATAGCATATGGCTGCATTTGTGCATGTGCATATTACTTAAGAAACTTAAGGTAACTTTGGATTTCCTGGCACAAGAAGTAGGGGAAGGGAAATTTGACCCGTGTATCAGTGATATAGGTATGTCCCTTGGATGCAGAAGGTACCGAGTTTGTTGCCTGTCATCTCTAGAGAGAAAAATTGCTTTCTGAAAGCTGCATAAGGACAATCCTAATGCAGATGAATAATAGGTGATTATACTCACACATCGCCTTGGTTATGATATACACTCCCATAGTTTGCTGGATTCACACTATGGTTTACAAACTGTAACACACACAGAAACCCTCTGATTGCTTAGCATTTGTATGACCTTCTTTGCAACTAAATCTGTGCCCCCCTTGAGGGTTTTTTAACCCTGAATATTGGCTGATGTACTGGTGGATTGTACACGCTTTACTAATTGAAGCCTGATCACATCATTTCATTTCTTTCCTGCGGTTTTTAGGTGTCAAAGATCCAGTTGGCCATTGCAAGGGGTGAAACACACTGATGCAAGAGACCTGGCAGTGGACTGAGATGGATTGGCTGTGACAACCTGTGACTGGTGGAGGGGGGGAGGGAGTGGGAAGAGTGATGATGAAAAGTTCCTGCCGAGCTGGCCTCCACCGGGAACTGCTGAATTCTACATCCTCCACCTTCTACCCAGTCAAACGGTATGAATGCCTTGTGCTTTCTGTGGCCAAGCAAAATGCTCCAGAATGCTCCTTCCGGCTTCTGCTTTGGGAATCACTTTCCTATTTGCTGCACTCACTGACTGAAAGAACTGGCATAGGGATGTCCCCGGGAATGCTTAGATTTATAGATTGTGTCCCTAGCAAAAGGGTGGGGTATGATTTAGAATACACTGCTTATTTCAGCGATAAGAAAAAGAAAGAATAGGCTGTTTTTGAATGAGACATAGGAATACATCAAATTATTTGAATTGTTTAAATATTGGATATCCAAAAAGGGATTCAGCAGCAAATGAACTGTCATATAAACCAACATCTCTCTAAAATGTGCTGGCTGGAGAATTCTGGGAGTTGGTCCACTCATCTTAAAGTTGTTAAGGAAGGAACACTGATGTAAACTACAGAGAAATTCTGGGAGAAGGTGAGCTTAGCAACTTTAAGCTGTATGGACCAACTCCCAGAATTGCCGACCCACTTGAATCAGCACCATCAGTTGTCGATTGTAGATTTTGCCACAAAATAAGTTGAGACTTCAGGAAAGCTGCTTTCATTCCTTGGGACCTTCCCTCTGGAGTCCTGGTACTGTATAAGCAGTGCTAGCATCTGACTTTCCTCTTCAGCCTGGGATCTCCGCATCCTGGAGGGTGGGATGAATACTACTTACATACATGATTGCAAAGTAACATGGTTCCTGATAAGCAGCTTGCTTGCTCTGGATCTCAGTTACTCTGCATGGCTACCTGTTCGTAGCCTCTGTGGCTCCCATAGATGCACCCCCCCGAGGCAGCATCGTTATTTCCTTTAAAAAAAAAAAAGATATTAAATAGACATACTGAATATTGATTACTCTAAATAAAACCAAACCTCCAGCCCTTCGAAAAACAAAATTGTTGCTTCTTCTCATTGTCTATTTCTTTTAAACAAGTATAATAAGATATCTTAAACCTACTGAAGTTTTAACTGAACTATTATGTTTGTAATTTGAGGTAATTATGCTACCAATGTTCATGCTTGCAGCTTTCCATCATGCAGATGTCCTAAGAGTAGGGGAAAAAAAGAGAAAGAATTTGGGGTACATAAGGACCTTTCCATAGGGTTTATCTATCCCTGAAACAGTGATTTGCGCTTGTAGCCCAACCCACAATGTAACGATTCCAAATTTCATAGAGCAGTTTTAATCCTTAAATTCATTTTTACCCTTAAATCAGCAGTTTTTTAAAGTCTCTCTTTTCTTTCTCACTCCCTTTCCCCTTTCTTCTCCAGAATATCTGGAATGCACTTAAAGCCCTATCTCAAGTTACAGAAGAAAGAGAGATCTTTTGAAATAAGCCTGGACTCTCCACGAAGCCCACCCATGAGTGAACAGAGATTGGCAAAAGATGAAAAACCTAGGAATCCGAAGCCAAACCTTTCACCCAACCCACCTCTTTGGAAACCACTGGGGAACCTCTCAACCAACACACTCTATAGTAGGAACAGCAACCAAAGCCATGTGGAAGCACCCAGGGTCAAAGAGAAGAGAGCTACCCCGCCTGCCTCTATCCATCAGGGGGAAGAGGAAGAGGGATTGCTGGATATCTGGGCGGTTGTAAAGCCTGGGAACACAAAAGAGAAAATAGCCTTTTTTGCAGCCCAGCTATGTAGTGACACCCGAGTATTTTCCATGAAGAACAAAAGCACCTGGGACATAGATAGGCGAGCAACCAAACGCCGGAAAAAGTCACTAGATATCAAAAAGGCCAAGGTCCACTTGGAAAGGATGAGAGAGACCAATGCAAGATGCTACCAGCCCGAGCCCTTTGCCTGTGGCATTGAGCACTGCTCTGTACATAATGTGAATGATGGTGGGGAGGGAGGGTTCCCTGGTCGACCGTTATCAGTTGTCGAGATGGTTGCTTTCCTGGAGCAAAGAGCAAGTGTTTTGCTGGCCAGTTGCACCAGAAACTGTCCCAGTGCCTCTGCTGTGCCCAGATTTGCCGGGCAACCTAAACCTTCCCCTCCTTCTGCTCCTGGATTCTTTTCTGACTTCAGGGCTTGCGAGGTTCCGTCTGAAAAGCCACCCTGTGGCAGTCACAGTGTAGAGCAGCAGGCTGAGCCAGTGCGTGTCTTGGAGATGGTTGCAAAGCTTGAATCAGAGTGCCTGAGGCGCCAAAGCGAACGTGAAGCAGGGAGCTTGTCTAGAAATAGTAGCTTCCGGCGGAATGTAGGGCGAGTGCTGCTGGCAAGTGGAATACTACCGGAGAACGAGTCTGACAAGGTATCATCTCTGGTCCTCCACCAAGAAGAATGTAATGGTGAGAAGGTGGGGTGGGGATCGAAGCACAATGGTTCAGTGGAAGATAGTTTATGGGAAGGTCCCTCTTCTGGCCAGTCTTCCTTTGATGATTCTCTTGAAGGCAACCATGATCTTAAGCATGGGCAAGGAACCATATCCGTCAACTGGTATGATTCTCAAAACATCACTGAGTCACATCCCTCTAAGTATTCAGAAGCTGTTCAGACATCTCCACATTTCTTATATAAAACATCTTCATCAACCGAACGCACACCAAAAGAATCACTAGATGTTCCTAATTTGAATGCAAGCGTCAGAGTGAGTGAATCCCTGAATATTAGCATATCTGTCAGCAAGATAGATCAGAATTGCAAAAAACCCCAATCTTCTGATTTGAGCTTTGGTGAAGATTCTCTTCCAGGAAGACTTTTCTTGCTTTTATCCAAATGTGAAATCTCCCAAGAGTGCCTGCAGTCAGTGGAGACCCCCACGGAGGAATGTCCAGCAGGGACCCAAGGAAAGGAAGCTTCCTCTGCTGACCAAGTTTGTATGAGAAGCCATGTTTCAGGTGACTGCCCTGATGTTTCCTCAGATAATGCACTGCAGATCCTTGACTCATCTCATCTAAAGAGGCAAAGGTCTCATGACTTTTTGGAAACCAGGTTTAAGATCCAGCAACTTTTGGAGCCGCAGCAATATCTGGTCTTCCTGCCCCACCACATTATGGTGAAGATATTTGGCTTATTGCCCACCAAGAGTCTGGTGGCCCTCAAATGCACTTGTGGATATTTCAAATTTATCATTGAGTACTACAATGTCAGGCCAGCAGATTCACGCTGGGTTCGTGATCCACGCTACAGAGAAGACCCTTGCAAACAGTGCAAAAAGAAGTACACCAAGGGTGACGTCTCGTTATGTCGGTGGCACCCCAAGCCCTATTGCCAAGCTTTACCTTATGGGCCCGGGTACTGGATGTGTTGTCACAGGTCCCAAAAGAATGTCCCCGGATGCAAGTTAGGCCTTCATGACAATCATTGGGTCCCCGCCTGCCATAACCTTAATCGTGCGATTCACAAGAAATCCAGGGAAATAGATGAGGACTGTTAGCACATTCTGCACATCGTTTGGGAGCCTCAATCATGGGTAGGAGGAGAATTCCATGCCTTGTGATGTTTACACTGTGTATATTTTGTGGGTGGTTTTTTTCCCCCTCTTCCACAGGGCTACAAAACTGCACATACTTTCAATCACAAAGGCCTTTTTACCTTTTAGAGAAAAGATTGTGTTTAGCCCACCCGTGTACATAGGTGCTCTAGAATAGCTTCATCTTGGGTGTCTGACAGCCAGTTGACCAACATCAAAGTGCTGCAATGCAGCACCTCGAGTGTTTGCGGCTACAGTCCTGTGTTTTAAAAGTGTCTCATTTTCAAATCTGTATATCGTGTATAAAATATACATTTATATATATAAGTATATATAAATATATATTAACATTGTTTCTGAAAAGAAACTCTAAATATGTAAAAAAGAATCAATCTCTGAAAAGGATGGTTTAACTGGACAACCTTAAAACTAGACTAGAACACATATGCAGTAGGTTATGTTTGAGGGTGGTAGCAGGAAAAAGAAGACTTTTGTTGTCACAGAACTGGAGAGCTTTGGTCTATTGCATCCACTTTACCTTGGGTTTTTTTTTTACTTAATAAAATGTGCATTCTAAACCTGTCCTTTATCATTTTTTTCTTCCCAGTACTTAAAAACCTAGTACTTAAAAGAAATTATTTGGGAAATAAATGTGTATTTTGTGGCACATTATTATTTTTTCTTTTTTAGATGCAGCAGGTTATAATATCAAAAATATGAAAATGAATATTACAGATGTTAACCATTTTTGATGAATTTTGCAAACCCCAGAAAATTTTATCAGCAGTCACAAATTAAATCTACAGTATCGTTTTTCAAACATTCAGTTTTCTTGACATTGCCAGCTTGCATAAACATTGACCTTAATCAAATAACATATCATTATCTATTCTTATGTGAGTTTACCTGCATATTACATAATTTGTATGGTGCCAGCTTCAAAATAAACCTAGACTCTTTTGCCAGATATGACTGGTTAATAGGAGAGTCCGTGATTTAATCAGTAACAATGGCAGAGGACTCAATTTTACACTAAAAGCAGCTGTTTGTATCAGGAAGCAACTTTCCCCATGAATCATATTTTGACTACTGAAAAGCAAGATTTATGTGCTTGATTCCCTTTATAATCAAGATCTTGTAATTGTAATTGTAATCTCCTTGGTTAGTTCTTCCTTAATAAATTGTTAATCTTATGGAAAATCCACGAACAAATTAGCTAATTTTAAAAAATCCTAAGAATGAAAGCAAATAATGGATAGCAAGGAATGGATTTATCCTTAGCTTGAAGAATTTCCTCCTTTCTCTCTGGATTCTGAATCGCTCACTATGTAGTCCTATGTCCTGAGCAGTGGTTTAATTGCTTAATTGAATTGTGTAATTTTCCAGTTAGCCTAAAATGGAGATACTACAAACATTTTAGAGCAGCGTTTTTTGAACTTGGCACCTTTAAGAAGTAAAAAAAAAACACAAGATGAGAAACCCGATAATGTTTTTCGGAAAGATTGGTTAATTTCATGAATTGTTACATGCTCTGCAAATTACTTTCAAGATACTGCACACTAAAATTAAAAAAACAACAACTATATAACGAAAGATTGAAATGGTTTTACAGTTAATAGGTTTGAGGCAAATCTTTTATATTATTAAGAAAAATGTACTCAGAAATAGGAAGGTATGTTTTATTTGTCAGTACTGTGCTTCATATAAAGAAAGCCCCACAGAAAAATGGAGTTCAAAATGATTTGAGAATTTCAGCTATGAAAATAAACCGACTGTGGAAATCCCTTAAGGAGAGACAACAGCTCAGCTGGCTTAAATATTGGGAAGCAAGGGGAGAAGATTTTCAATTAAGAGAGGAAAATAGAGGTGAAATTCCTATGTTCTTAATTAAGGGATCTTGGCAATAATTTCTAATCTGAAAGGGTAACAGGAACTTCTAATTTTGCCATTATCTCCTGCAAGGCAGGGGATTTGTCAACGTTTAAGATTTGTGGACTTCCACTCCCAGAATTCCCCAGCCACGAGTTGCAGTCCATAAGTCTTAGCAAGGTTGGACACCCCTGCTCTTAGATTTCGTCAAGAAAACATTGGTTGGTATCATGCTTTGTGGAGAAGGCCTCTAGACTTTATTTTGAAGGGTTGGGTTCAATCTGGCAGCCAAGAGCGGAATCAGAGATTGCAACAGCTGGGAAATATATTGTACCAGGGCAACACACCTCGCATTTAATAACGAAACCTCATTTTGACATCGGTGCCCTTGCAGATCTCTATTTCAGATGAAAACGTATTTCAAGTGTTGAAGGATTAACATTTTACAAACTTTTATCATTCATAAAGGTTACACTATCTTTGTCAGTTTTGGGGGGTGTAGATGGAGACTTCCTATAAAAATAAATAGAACAGCATTCTGTAAAAAAATGGAACAGCATTCATACTGGGAAAAATATTTCTTGACAATGGACTAGTGGACAAGTAGCCACCAAACAGCATCATTGTTATGTGCCACCCAGTCACCTCTTGTGAGATGACAGCCATATGAATTTGATATAATGGAGCTCAACCAGAATTCTTCAGACTGAAAGCAACTTTACCAGCAATATGGTGGCCATCTTATGATTCTGTGTTATTTTCCTCTCTGTAAATATCTTCGTTTTTCTTGGTCAGTTGCTTTTACCAGATCTGCGTAAAATAAAGAATAATCCCAAGAAGGCTTTTGATAGATGGGTGACCAGCTACAAGCAGTTTCTTCAGCATTTTTTTGTCCTAAATTGGATAGTTCTTGAGGTAACTACTCTCATGGGTATTTCCCATGTATATTACCATACCTATCAGGCATGAAATTCTCTTATCTTCGCTACCTGTTTGGAAGGTAAGCCGTTCCATTGATTTATTATTTTCATTGTCGGGTAGTTCTGCTTCTCTCCTTGATTAGTTTCAATCCATTGCTTCTTGTCCTGCCTTCAGGTGCTTTGGAGAATAGGTTGATTCCCTCTTTGTGACAGCCCCTTAGATATTGGAACACTACTATCATGTCACCCTTAGTCCTTTTCATTAGACATACACAATTCCTGCAATGCTCTTTCTAGAGTCTCAACGTTGTGGCGATCAAAACTGGATGTGGTATTCCAAGTGTGGTCTTATTATAAAGTGGTATTAACATTTCATGTGATCTTGATTCTGTCGCTCTATTAATGCAGCCTAAGACCATTGGCTCATTTGTAATATTTAGCTAGTAAAGTTATTTGAAGAAAAACCTACTTGCTTTTCAATTTGTCATGAAGACTAGCCTATTCTAGATAAGATTGATAGATAAGAATCGCAAACATTCCAGAAGATAGGGTTAAGATATAGGAGGTTCACAGACTTGAACCCTGAGCCCTATCAAAATGAAATTCAACGGTTAAAAAAAGGCTCTACATTTAGGCAAGAAAAACCAAATGCACAGGTACAGTATAGGTGGCACCTGGCTCAATAATAGTAATTGTGAGAGAGATCTTGGGAGTCCTAGTATACAATCACTGAAATATGAGCCAGCAATTTGATGCAGCTGCCAAAAAAGCTAATGTAGTCCTAGGTTGCATTAATATAGAATAAATCAATGGAACAGCCTACCTTCAGAAGTTGGGGTGCTCCATCATTAGGGGTTTTCAAAAAGATTGGACAGCCATTTCTCCAATATAGCATAGTCTCTTGCTTGAACAAGGGGTTGGACTAGAAGACCTTTAAGGTCCCTTCCAACTCTTATTCTGATACACTCTGAAGATGGCTGGAGTGCTGCTTCCAGCACAATACATCTCATATGTAGAAACTTATAGGATTTAGTCAGAGAAACTTGAAAAACCAAAGCATTGCATAACTATTAAGGGCTATTAATAAAATAATTTAACAAGACCCACCCCTGTGGTTGGATCAAACCTAAACAACTTTTCAGATTTAATTGAAATGGGATTTTTCAAAGCAATCTACACACAATGGGATATTGTATACACTGTGAAACATGAGACAGTACTTCCACTTAGGCACTGCCAAACATGCAGGAATAGACTGTCTTTATCCGTTCCCATTATGTTCAAAAGACACAAGGTACTTGAGCCAGGTGCAAAACTAATGGGTCACAGTATTTGTTCATTCTGGAATTTGTTTTTAGTGCCAGACAACACTGCATCTGAATTCAAACTGTTTTGGCAGAAACTTCTGAGTGAATGATACAGCACCTGTACAACTTGCTTGACTTGACACTAAGTAGGGTTAGGCCCATTTAATATTTACGTAGGCAACCATTAGGAAATCTTGGGGCTGTAACGAGGAAGTTGAAAAACATCCTTAAAAATGGCAGTGATAAATCTTTTATTGGTAAGAACATACATCAATGTGATCATCAGAAACTGAGTTCACTCCAAAGATGACTTCTGAATCAGAAGCACTTACTTGCTGTAAAGCATCCAAAGATATAGATCACCAAGTATTTGTTTTCCCACCCTATCTGAATTATTTGGAGATTTCTCAATGGAGTTTTTTTTTTAAGAGAGCACAGCAGCACTATAAGAAAGCCAATTCTCCATGAAAGAAAGACAAGCCAGTGAGCCTCTTCTGCTGTCTGCAAGTGGCTAGTAGAGCTGTCATTTGGAGCTTTAGCTACTTCACCAGCTGCACACCTTCCCTTGTCACCGCTATTCAGTAAGCATGCCAAGGCGCCCTTACCAGCCTCTTCCCATCCTGTGAATTCATCCCCCAACCTCTGGTGATGTTACAGCTAAATGTGTAATTTCCCTTCTATGTATTCAGAACATACTAGCTATATAATACAGCTCTTGACAGAAGCCAGGTTCTTATCATCACTACAACAAGGTTGTAGTAGCGTTTGAACTGCTAGGAAATTGCTAAAAAAAAGTTTGATTCAAACCTAAACTTGATCCCAACATTCAAATATAACGGGCTTCTGTCAATTATTAGTTCCAATATTTACAGATAACATGTCATTTATAGGCTTCCTTTCAATTTTCATCTTAGTTGTAAAATTAGCTACATCTGGATGGCTAAAATGCATCACAAATTAGGAAAAAAAGGACTGTCAGGTTATAACCAGTGCAAGGATTCATGATTAATCTCTTCTTTAGGTAAGTCCTTGATAATGTAAATACTAGATATTTTTAGCATGAAATGTGTATTTTCTCTTTCACAGTGTTCTGCAACTGAAACCCATGAACTTGGACAGTAAGTAATAGTTCAAATGATAACCATAATATCAGAACAGTATAAATCAAGCCAAGCAATCTTTAAAAAAAACCAAAGATTTATTGCAGTAGTACAATTTTAAAAACACATTTGCATTAAGTTAGAACTACTAGTTTTGAAAATGGCACCACAAGGTCATGAGCTAAAAAAAAAAAAGGCTATGGATTTAGGGATATTCCATTAGCAATCCTTGTTTGGAGAGCCAATTTCCAAGCAGCAAACAGCTTACTGTATTTCTAGTAACCCATTAAGCATGTTGAGACTCTTGGGCCTAAACATACAGCTCTACCTTTGTTGATACCATAACATCTTGCAAAAAATGCACAATTAGTGATGTAAACCC